GATCAGTTATATTCTAAGATGAGGTCAACCGGGGGGCAACCCGCCCGTTTGTACGGTTTAGCTAAGGTACACAAGGCTGAGACACCCCTACGACCAGTACTATCACTTCCAGGCAGCTCGTATGAGAATCATAACAAAATGCTTGCAAAGTTTTTTGACAACCTTGATGAAGCCAATATAGAAACCAATACTAAAGATGCCAGAAAAACAATTGAAAGCATTGCTCCGGATAAAACCATAAAATCTCTTGATGTGAAAAGTTTGTACATCAACGTTCCCCTGAAGGAGGCAATTCAAATTGCTTTACAGAAGCTGTACAGCCAGGAGTCTCCTCCTGAAATTCAAACAGCAACAATGAAAAGGCTTTAAATATGGCGGTCAGCAAAGAATATTTCAAATGTAATGATTCATGGTATGTAATAGTTGATGGTTCAGCAATGGGCGCGTCCCTCGCTGTAATTCTGGCAAAGTTATGGCTGAAAGAGTTCGAGTTTGCTCTAAGACACGAAATACCGGTGGGAACGGTGATACAGCAAATTAATGACACAAACGGTTTGTGCACATGTTGCAGCAGGAAAATCACATATAGATCAAAGGGGGTTAAAAACAAGAGTTGGCGAAACTGGTATCATCTAAAATGAGGAAAAATATCCGATGACGTTTACGCATATATTACCGAGATAGTCTGGTACTGTGAAAGCTGCTGCCGCGCTTAGAACAAGAAGAAGGATACTACCCAGGTGAAATTGTTCCTCAGGTATGTGGATGACATTGTTAGAACAGCCACAGGGGAGCCGAGTTGTCTTCTCGATGCGGCCAATTCTCTTCATCCAAATTTGCAGTTCAATCTAGAGGAAACTAACTCGGAGGGGAATTTGCGTTTCTGGGTTTGAACATAAAGGTATCGCAGATTAGGGGTGTAATTTGCAGTTGGTATCAAAAACCAACAATTACAGGGACTATACTGAACTATAGAAGCTGCGCCCCAACTCAGTATAAGCGTAGTGTTATCCAAGGCGCTGTACACAGGGTTTTCAGGAACACATCTAGCTAGGAGCAATTTGATAAGGCTATGGAAACTAATAGGGCGCAATGGCTGACAAATCAGTACCCTGAAAATTGGTCCGCAAAGGTGGCTTCAGACGCCTTGTGCAAGATCATCGATGATAAGGGTAAGCCCCTGGATAGTGAGAGGTAATTGTCAGTTCAATCGACAAAAAATTTGAAGCCCCCAATGCTGATGGTGCAATATAGAGGTAACCAGAGCCAATTTTTTGCTAACAGGTTACGAAAACTAACTAACGTTCAAGTGGTTTCCCATGACCTCAATTCAAGAGTGGCTTATAAACTGTCATGTAGTGGATGCACTTCCGCCTATGTCGGTCAAACTGTTCGACAATTGACCACTAGAATTGAGGAACATAAGAAAGCAGTCTCACCGGTAGGCCTCCACCTTCAGCAATGACAACTTGAGGGAAATAGCGAAGATCTTAGTTGGGAAATTATAGATAGGTCAAACAACCAAACAAAACTGCTAACACTAGAGGCAATACATATCAGGAAAGAGAAACCGGGCTTGAACACGCGTGATGAGTGTAGGAGCAGGGAGTTAACACTGAAAATTTAGTCCCAAAATATATATTTTTTTGTTTAAAACGTACATGTCTAAAATGAAATTATGACTCAGAAACTTTCAGACAAATTAATATATATTAATTTAATTAAATTTGGAGGTTAAAAGTCTTTTAATTGTAATAGTAATTTAGAGGTCAACTGTGATTGGCTAATTTCTTAACATGATGGTTTAGAACCAAAATGTATGTGAATTTTTGTAAATATTATTTGTAAATTGATGTTCTATCGTCATTTAGATTAGTTTATTGTAAAAAACCTGACGATGCACATAATTGCGAAAACGTTTGAAATTTACGTTTTAACAAAAATTTCGGCAATCATATACTTGATAAAGTTAATTTCAACCTAAATTGATGTAATCGTATTCTTCTATAATTTGCAAAAATTTCTGAACTGTTCAATTTCTTAAGAAGCATCTTATATTTCAACGTCTCTAGTTCTAAAAAAAATAATCCTTCATTTTTCACATTTTCTTTATTTGTATACGGCTCTCAAGTATGGTCCTCTTCCTTTACTAATTTAAAGAAACTAAGAAAGTTTCAGGCCGAAGTAGTTCTCTGGATTTTTTTTACAAACAAGACCATTCTGCCTTGAGAAACCTCCAATAACTTTCCATCGATTTCCAGTTGATTAAAGCTGACTTTGTCCTCCTTTGGTTTCATTCACTTGATACAAACGACTGTTTCAAGTTACTTCACAAACTTTCTGGCAGCACACCAATTCCTTCGGTTGTTAAATTGGGAGCCTCATGTGCTTCTACTGATAAAACCAAAGCCGATTTGTTTAATAACTTTTTCTGTTCTGTGTACAAAAGCGAAATTATTACGTATAACGGTTGTTCTGATAATACATCCATTAACTTGCGCGAATTATCGTTTGGTGAAATTGATGTAAATAGTTTACTTAAAAAGGTACCAGATACCACAGCAGTTGCAGCTGATGGCATTCCACCATTTGTTCTCAAATATAATGCTGATGCACTCACGCCTATGGTATATATTCTACTCGGTCAAATTGTTACCTGCTTTATTTGGCCCGATTTTTGGAAAGAGGTGTTTATCATGCCTTTTCATAAGTCCAGGCCAAAATCTGACATTACAAATTTACGTGGAATCAGTTTTTTACCGCGCTTATCGCTTTGCTTGGAAAAACTGCTTTTTAATTTCATTTATTCTTATGTTCGACACAAACTTTCTCGTACACAGCATGGCCTTGTTAAAAAGCGCAGCATGTTTACACAATTGTTGGAATATGTTGAAAATATTTACAAATGTAAATGTGAAAATTTCTGTTCTGTATATTTTGACATTCAAAAGGCTTTTGACTCTGTGTCACACAAACAGTTGCTGAACAAGCTGTCTTCTTTTGGTTTTGACGAAAATTTTATCATGTTAATTTCATCTTATCTTTCCAATCGCTCACAAAGAGTACGTATTAACAATTTTCTATCTTACAAAGGTTACATCTCTAGCGGTGTACCACAAGGAAGCATTTTAGGACCACTTTTATTCCTTATTCATAAGAATGACCTCCCGGATGTTGTCAAGTATTCCTCACCGTCTTTATTTGCTGATGACCTGAAACTGCTTTATCGAGACAAATGTCATGACAATTTTCAGTCTGATTTAGATTCGGTAGAGACCTGGGCAACCCAAAACGGTCTTGATTTTCATCCAGACAAAACTAAATTCATTTCAAACAATAGCTTTATTTTCAACCTTTATCTTAACGGGTCAGAAATATGCTCTGTTGATCATATCAAAGACTTGGGTATTTATATCTGGCCTACTTTGTCTTGGAATCACCATGTTTCTGCGAAACTTGTTAAAGCCACAAAGTGTTTTTATTTTTTAAAGCGTAATGTTCCTTTCAACTCACCTGTTAAAACTAAGCTTCAAATGTACATTTCTTGTGTGAGGTCCATTTTACTTTATAACTCTTGTATTTGGTACCCAAATTTATCAAAGCTACGTGATTTGGAAAAATTCCAGAAGAAGGCAGTAAAGTGGATAATTGGTTCCACTAATTATACTGACAGTCTTGTGATGTTAAACATACTGCCTATTTGCTATCAAATTATTTTTAATGATTGTGTTCTCTTCTTCAAACTGTTACATAACTGTTACGACTTCGATATTAATGACTATGTTACTGTTAGTGAATCGAGACCGGTTAACAGATCCAGTCAGAGAATGGTATTCTCTGTACCTCTTACCCGCAAATTCTGTTGCCTTGGGAGATTTTTCCAAAGAACAATTCATAGCGTCAATAGTGTTTTAGCAAAAGTCGACATCAACTCTACAACTACAGTCTCACAAACCAAGACTCTACTCTTCAATTTCCTTAAACAGCAACTTCAATCAACCTTCAATCTCGACAATCCATGCACTTTCTTCATCAAATGCCGTTGCAACACATGTCGTTCCTGAATATTACTAATTTAACTCAAAGCTTGAATTAAGCAAACTCAAATTTTCACTTTTATATGTAGTATCATTCACTAATAAAGTTTTTTTCTTCTTCTTCTCTTTGGAAGCTTTGAAACAACAGTCTGGACGTTGATCACTCGGTCTTTGAAGGAACTACCAACGAAATCTTCGACAATGGGACTTCCATTATTGCATTCACTAGGAAATTGATTTCCAGTAGCAACTACTATGTGAGGGCTACGCGATGTGCAAACGAGCTTACGTATCACCACAAAATCAGATTTTACGTATCGTTGCCAAAACTGAAATCGAATCTGAACAGTTTTCTCGTTGCTAAACGTTCAACTTTTAGAAGGAATCGGGCATGAAAAGTTCGAATTTCTATTCATATCTCAAGCTTTTTATGATAAAATTTTGTTTCGGACTCAACAGTGTGGGACACAAGTATTTTCGGCTTCCGCTTGCTTAAACTGAATTCTTTTTCGACGATAAACAGAGACAGACGTAAAAAAATTTTGTTTGGTGTGTTTTATCGATGTTTTTGAATGTTTTTTTTTCGACCTTCAACTTCGTCTTCCTTCTCTTTTTGAATTCGCTAGCTTTCAATGCTATATTTGTGTTGCATCACAAGTGTTGCAAAACATTACCGCTTTGTGAAATTTTAATTCTAGGAAAACATGGAAATTTTTAGCAATATAGGTATGGAGTTAGCAATATAGGTATGCAGTTATGCTTTTCTGCGATGAAATTTGCCATAATAAATTGAACGCCGCCTCTGATCCAACTTTAAAAATTCAAAAATTGAAAGTATATGGAAGTCTATAAGGGCTCCTTGGTATTTTACAATCGGGGACATTACTTAGTTAAATTTGTCATTAAAGTTGAAATAAATTTCACAAGAATATGCCAAATATATTATAAATGTTGTCAGTCAGTTCCTGAAAGGTTGAATTAGATCAAAAAGCCAAAGGTTTCTAAAGGCTGAATATTTATTTATTTCAGATATTCAGTGCAATCTAGCTATGAGTGGAGATGTCATCTAATGAACAGGACTGAAAGTTGCCATTTTTGTTTCGGGTATGAAAATCATAAACGAATTTGCTGATGTGTTCACTGCACTGCTGGTGGCATGGTCTGCAGCTGTAGTCTGGTTTACAATGTGGACATTGCTTGGTTGTATGTTTCCAGACGACGCCGAGCACTATATCTGGGCCATGCTATTTGTTGGATTCGGAGGCTCCTATCTCTGCATGTACATCGAAACTATGTCGTGTTTTATCAATACAAGCCAGAACACTTGCTCGCACGTCTCAGCTAAATTGATCCACGACTTCTTTGTAACTTGGTTTCAGGCAAGGATTTAAAAGTTTCTTGAGCTTACTTGAAATTACGTTCACTCTTAAAATGCTATAGCTTCTTTTCTAGATTAATTTGCTGTGGCAAATAAAAGTTCAGTTGTTACATTTGCCCTTATTTATTACGCTTTAGATAATTAAAAACCTTATAAATGATAAAGTCAGATGTATTTAAGAATAATTGTAGGTGTTTCTGTGGAAAAGTTGGTGGGACATGTTGGATTTTTACACTCATTCAACCTTTGCGCAAGTATGCGAGCTGATTGTATCCTGCTTCATCCTCATTTCTTGTCGCTCGCTGACAGTGACTGCTCAACTAACTATTACGAAGGAGGAAATTTGCAAGACCCCGACCGTCAGTGACACTATATCCACAGGTTAAGAAATAAATTGTATAGTACGACTTTTCAGTTTATATACGATTTAATTGCAATGAACATTCTTCCAGGTAGCAGAAATAAATCTTGAATCAAGATTATACTATAATTATTATTTAAGTTGTTAAGTGGGCGAGTAGGAGTTATAATAGAAGAAGTTTTTATTGAAGCCGGGAGAAACTTAGTTTTACTCCAGGCAAATTAGTTTTTGAAGCTTTATTTAGCGCTTCCTTGGCAATCAAAATGCCAATAATAATCCGCAACAATTTATATTTTTGTTTTTTATTCATCTTTCAAAGACTATGCCTAATTTACTAAACTTTTGAAAATTTTGTATAGTTTCTCTACAGCGCAGAAAAATGATTAATCAAAATGTTTTAATGAATGTGATCGGAATTTTCTTTGCTACTGGTGACTCTTGTTTGAAAAAAGTTTTGCCTTCGTGGCTTTCATTTGAATTTACAGCTGATTTTTTTAAAGACCTTTTCATTATTTAATACATTTGACGCAGGAATCACAAACTCAGCAAACATCACTTCGACGCTAGTTTTGGTGCACATTCTGTCAATCACTGTGTGGACTCAAGTGTGGAATCTCACTGATAAATTTCTTCTCCCTGGAGATGAACACTACTACACTTCCACTTCGATCTCATTGGTGTTTGGTCTGTTACTGATGGGGGCGTTGTTTGTATTCGACCAAGTGAAGTCTTGTCTACTACTTTGCTGCAAGAATTCTTATCCAGGTGGGGATTACAATCCTATTGTTCAGAACTTTAGAAGGGGGGAGGAACTTAGTCTTCGGTTGTGTTTTTCTCCACGCAATTTTTAGTGATATTGCATATTACAGCCTGTTTAGTCGCGAGTCGAACGCTATAAAAAATTAAAATGTTTTCTCAGTTATTGGTTTTTAGCCGAATTGCGAGCACAGAAAACCGGCTACTCTTGTTGTTCCGACCATTTGAAAAATGGGGAGGAACTTTGTCTTCGGGTGTGTTTTAGTTTTTTTTCTTTTTGTTTTCCACGCAAAATCAGGTACCACAAATAATCATCGGACTGGGTTGAGTGATATATGATATTAAAGCCCTTTCAGTCGTGATTCGAACCACATTTAAAAATTTTAAAAAGTTTCCCCCCGTGTTGAGAAAAACCGGTTTGAAGTGTTGGATTTTTCGTCTTAATTCGGGCAAATAAAGCAAACGAGCAGGCTTACAACAGCTGAAATCTGCCTAATCTGACCTTAAAACTTAATTTAAAGCTAGTAAAATTAGTGTTTGGAGTTTTTATAGCTCCATTTTGGGAACCAAAAACTTCAAAACATTAAAAATTTTCTGCAAAAAAATTTGAAGAAAATTTTGAAAAGTTTTTCTAGTCATTCATCTACAAAGTTTTTTGTCCAACTTGCCTAGATTAGTATGACCGTCTAATATGCCTAAAAATTATTTCATCACACCAAACAGAAAAAAATTACACTAATTTGGAAAAAAAACTTTCTAAACCGTAATTTTCTAAAGACTATGGTCGGAACATTCTGTGCTATTTGCACGGTAACCGGCTATCCTTCTTTATCTCTGATTTTTTATTTTAATCTTTTTGCTCTGTATGAGCAGAAACCTTTTTGTTGTAAATGGTAACTTTTTTGTTACTAATTAGATGTTTGATTGATTAATCATACATAAGCTTTGGTATAGAATGGACGAACTTAAACCAGCCCAAATCTGGTTTAAATCTTTGTTATAGAATAGACGAACTTCAACCAGCCCAAATGTGGTTTATATACCACCTTTTTATTGTGATATTTTTGCTTTAAATAGCCTCAAAAAGATTTAAGTCGTGACTAAAAGGTCCCAGCAAAGGTTTAGCAAATGAAATATATGTCAGCCAAAGGTCTTAGATGTTTCATCAAGCTGCTTCAATCATGATTTTAATGCAGGTCCTTAGTTAAACTGTCCTGCTTTATTATGGAAGAGTTCGTTTGTCGCGTGCTTTTAATGTTGAGAACCATGGTCAAATATCCGATTATGAATCGTTTTGTGGCTCGGGTTTTTAATAAAGAGGTTAGCAGTTCGAAGCCGACCATGAGCTGTGCTCGTTGTTTGGAGACTTGATAACTAATTTTTCCGGGCCCAGAAAGTTAACCTATGAAAGGCATACTGTTTTGTTCAAAGGACACAATAGGGGATCTCTGTAAAATTTTGAACAGCTCGTACGCTGGTCCTTCCCCACGTGAGGATCCAGTTGATGATGTTACTACCTCCTGTTTTTACTGAATTTAGATGAAGACGGCAAGGAGGGAGGAGCTAATCGGCGGATGCTGTTCCTGGTCTACTACCTGATGGCCTCTTTCGCTCTCCTCTCCTCAATCCAATGTTGGCGAGGTGTCTGGGGATTTGGAGATTACTTCATGGAACTGCTTCAGAAAGAACATATGCTCAACAACAAGGTTAGGTTAACACAACTCATTATATTAAGAAAGTAGCGAAGTTTTATTTTTCTTGAAATAAATTTTTTTCTCCAAAAACAAGGGTGATACAACGTCAAAGTTTATATAATTAGCACCAAGATCGAGGAGAGGATAGACAAAGGGCATAATCAATACCCACTGAGTGCATCATTGAGTCAAAAATATTTATAAGTAAATTTTTATTACTTACCTCCATTTAAAAAATAGAAATTTCAAGCTAGCTTATGCCGCCTATGGCTCAGATACACAGAACAACTTCTCGTTTTTTCTACTGACTAGCTCTTATAATAGATAAAAACTTAGGATGGTTACGTAATCGTTAGCTTAACTAGAGTATATAAAGTGGAACCACATCATTCTTCTTAGCCGGAAAAATTTGAATTGCAAAAATTAACTATTTAACTAACTAACTGCACCTTTTCTCCCCTTTGGGAAACAAAAATAAATTTTATGAGAAAAAATAACTCTTAATTTTATATTATAATGAGAAATTAGATACAGCAAAGTGAGTTTCATGCGAAAGAGGCAGTACAACAATGCCGAAAATTATTTTTTATTTTCTTTTTTTTAATCATCCAAATCAATTATGCTGAGAAAATAATAAACTCGGTAATTATCAAACTTTTGTTTTCGGTTTTTCTCCAAAGTAAACCAGTATTCAAGCATAATTGCAAACAATTCATAAACGGAATTCAAAGTTTGTATGACCATAAGTTTTCGGCGCTGTTGAACACGTTTTCAGTTTTGGTACCGTTGTACTTCGATACTGTTGAACGCCTCCATAATAGCTTATAAAACAGTAGCAATAAACCAAATTGAACGATTTTTTATATCGATTATGATAAAATGTTACTGTGTTGCACCTAATTCTACTTTATATAATTGAAAGAATAAAAGTGAATTAATCTAAAGTTAAAACATTAAATAAAGGAAGAGAGCATTCTCGCCGCCGGAGAGAATGAAAGAGTGAAGGTCATATCTAAGTGACTTGTTAGGATTGTTACGTAATCGTTAGCTAAACTAGAGTATATAAAGTGGAACCACATCATTCCTTTTAGCCGGAAAAATTTGAAGTGCAAAAATTAACTATATAACTAACTAACTGCACCTTTTCTCCCCTTTGGGAAACAAAATTAAATTTTAAGCACAATAAATGTACTAGATTAGAGATAAAATTTAACGAGTGTATTTAAATAAGGCCGTTAATGATATGAAATTAGCTGCTGGATTAAAATAAGTAACCAACATCCGCCGGATGTAAAAGTAGTCAGATTGGAAATCAAAAAGATTACGAAGTTAAATTCCTTGGAATGTAACTGAGTCCAAATGTATTTAAGTGTGCTAGGGTATAAAGCATTACTATTAAATTTTAAAGGTAGCCAAACACTAAGATGAATGTATGTACTGATCCGAAGGAATGTTAATGATGGCCTAGGCGGTTAACAATCCAAAGAGTAATGTAGTAAATAAAAAAAAACATAACGCACCAGATAGGCGAAATGTTATGATTTGTTTTTGAGATAACATTTTGTGTAGCAGTTTATAAAGTTTTCGAGTTCAGCTGTTGTCCAGGACGATAAGGTTCAATGCCGTGCCAGAAACCACTTGGGCTCATCTACAACATCTATGAAATATCTCTTACCATAGAATTTTGGCGGGCCCACATTTCGATTAGACCGGCGTACAGGTGGTTCATTACCGGGTTTCAGGCGTACAGGTGGTTCATTACTTGAGCTTAGGCAGCAGGGCTTCATCAGATAAGTCCACTATCTCATAAATTGGGAAGTTCACTGGAGAGTCCTCATTTAGTGGTGTTGTTGGAGTATTCTTCGAGTCCCTTTCTTGAGTGGTGGTAGTAGATTCCACCGGATTGATGCTGATTGGGCACTGCGATGTTATTAGCTCGTCGTCTTGGTTATCTTCTAAAATCTCAACCTTAATGTTATCATTTGCTTCGGGAGAGTTATCAGTGTTGCTATCGTGTTTTGAAGCATTTAGGGAATCGGAAATAATTCGCTCCCTAACTACGTCTCTACACGGAAAACCTACAGCTATCCATTCCCAATCGCCTATATCGGAAGTATCCGAGGGAATAACCATAGACGCGTCAGAAGCAAGGTAACCTGGTAAAATAGTCGACTTAGATCGTGGAGGTTGTCTTCGAGAAGGGCTCGTAGAAGGTCTCGACACGCGCGTCCTGGTGTTTTTGTCTGAGGATCCCAATTCTTCTAAATTCCTGGTCTTCAGTTGATGTTTTCGTGGATTGTTTTGTTTCCAGGTTTCTCGCGTTTCTGACCTACTTCAACATTACAGTTAGAAAAGTAAGGAAATGATGTTGCCTTTAAAAGATCGGATTTTTGAAGACTTTGATCGGGGAATGGCGATATGATTTTCTGATTATTTTTCCGTCGGATAATTCTACGGTCGTACTAGAAGTGTTTTTGATTTTTTGTTTCAACTCCTTATAAAACGGATTTCCTTTGATGCTCTCGTTCGTTTTCCGAAGGATTTTACCTTTAAATGGATTTTGAAGGGGTATTCCGGACGAGGAAGGTTTTGAGGGGAACGGGTAGTCTGATTCGTATCCTTTCTCTACAGGTGTCTGGTTCTTCTTGGAGATCAACGTATCCTTGTATCCATCCTCCACTCTGTCGTCTGCGTTCCAGTCCTTTGCTCTTTCTTTAGAAAGTATCGATTTTCCTTTGTCTAAAATTCCATTGGATGGTTTACCAGAAGCCAATTGTTTCCAAATAGTGTTTGGTTTTCTATTAAAATGTACTTCGAAAGGAGAGCATTTGATTTTTGATTGTCAAGAGGACCGAAGGTTTCAGATGATTTTTGAGACAGCGTCTCGTAATGTACATTTTTGGGCTTTTTGAGACATAGCCAACAATTTAATTTTTGCAGTATGTACAAGTTTCTCAACTAATCCGTTGGAGCGATGATCTACTGTACAAAATATTAATTTGATTTTGTTCGAATCGCAAAATAATTTAAAATCCTGCCTTGTAAAACAGGATGCGTGATCTACTCTAATGTATGGTATGCCGTGAAGAAATATGTAATCTTGAAGAAATTCGATGACTGTTTTTGATGATGAAGATGTAGTAATTTTTGATCGATCGATGCAAAGTAAGGTATTATTCTTCGTGCACCAGTGAGAATCTAAAGGACCGGCGAAGTCTAGATTGAGTTCTTCGTTGGGTTCCAGTAAGGGGGGAAGTTCACTAATTTGTGAATTAGGAATTATACTTCTTAAATTCTTACTCGTCTTTGTACATTCTGAGCAATTGATGCCGTGAAAATAGATCTGTCTGTTAATGTGGGGCCACCAGATGTATTGGGCCAAGTATTTCATTCCAATTTGAACGGGATGTGTTTCATGGAGAGTTTTGAACATTGCATTTCGCAAGGTAAAAGGGATAACTAATTTACCGTCCATGTATAGTAATCCGTCGGATTCATGTAAGTCCTGTACAAAGTGGTTGAAATACGATGAATTGGCGTTAATCGTCTCAGTTTTGTTTTGAAGTGCTTTTACGATGGGGCTCAACATTGGGTCGTCTTCGGTTAGGAGAGCTACTAATTTGGCATTAAATAACGTATTCAAATCCAAAGGACGATCGGGCAACTTCAAATTTTCTCGGTATTTATTCACAACTCTTACGTGGTCAGATAACAAAGGGAATTCTAGGGAAACTTGAATACCGGAAGTGGACCGATTAATTAAAAATTTTTTAATTTTCCATAACAGTTTTTACAGTTTTTTTTTATCTAAAGCTGAATTAATTATGCTACAATAAAGAAAAAAAGAATATGAAAATGCGGAATTAGAAATAGAAATTATTAAAGAGTTAGTGTTTGAATAATCCGAAGGAATACATTTCGAAGTACAAAATCAGTGCGATTATGATTTGATGATCAAATTGGTAAGGTCGAATTAATGAGTTTTAGTACTGAAGCTAAAAGGTAATTATGTAATCTTGCGTAAACGGAATTTTCCAGATTTGAACCAATAACAGCATGTCATTCTTTGTTTATCCGAAGGATTAATTGATTTCCTAATTTTATCTATATTCGCGACTACAAATTCTTCGTCGTAATGTGATGGGTCCTTTACTTTTCCAGAAGGAATTCTCAAATTAAATCAGTGAGTTTCATGTTTTTTCTTGCAAGGCGTTTAATTGTAAAATTAAACGGTAGTAGCCGATCAACCCATCTTGTTAGTCTGCTGTGGTATATTTCATTCCCGTGGTTTGTTGATAGGGCTTTATGATCTGTAATTACTTCGAAGTCTGATCCAGAAAAGTAAGTTTTGTAATGTTCTACAACTCCCAAAAGTTCTAATTCATTGGTAGAATATTTCGATTCATGTGGGTTTAGAAACCGAGAAGCAAATGAAATCGTTTTCCAGTCATCCCCATGGAGTTGTTCTAGGGAGGCTCCCAAATCGTTATGTGATGCGGCCGTTTTTATTCTGGTTTCAAGTTTTACGTCGAAATGCGTATTTTCTGTAAGATTGATAATCTGTTTGATTTTCAAAAGCTTTTGTATGATCGAAGTTCCAATGGAAAATAGATTTCTCATTTAATAAAGGACGTAACGGGCTTTCCAAGGATGCTAGATTGGGCAAAGTTAATATATTGATTTATAGACCCGAAGAATGATCGTAGTTCCTTCAAAGTTTTTGGGATGGGTAAGTTCTTTATTGCTTTCGTTTTTGTCGAATACCGGAGAAATTCCAGTATTTGAGATTTTGAATTTCAACCATTCGATTTCTTTTTGAAAGAATTTGCATTTTGACCATCTAACGGCGAAATTGTAATAGTCTAAACTTGATAAGATTTTAAAAACAATGTTTTTGTGGTCTGAGAAGCTTCTTTTGGATGCAATTAAAATGTCATCTAAATAACAGTTTGTAGAAGTGATCGTACCTAGCGTTGAGTCCATGACTCTTTGAAATTCGTTGCATGTCGCTAACCCGTAAAAGCCAGTTAAAAACTGATAGGTACCCGTAATATCGCCGCCCACTATACTAAAGTAACACTGGTTACTAGTAAATTTGTCTAAGGCGAGTTGGCTATATGCATTTTTTAAATCCAAGTTAGTAAGTCAAACTTCTCTCCAACGGAGTCATTTGCAATTTTTGCCGCTACGTCATCTACATTTTCGTGAATATTCGGCATTTGGTATTTGTTCTTGTAGATCTGTTTGTTAATAAATTTTGAATCTAAAGCCGACTTCATCGATTTGTCTTTTTTTACGAGGAATGACAATTGGGCTGATAAAACGGTCTTCATCGCAATTTTTCAACTTCTTAATGTGTCCCATGTTTTTCAGTCGATTAAGTTCCGTTTTAACTGAATCAAGTAAGTGGAGAGGAACGCGTCTGCCTTTTAATTGTATGGGCTTTAGTGGTTCGTGAAAATGAGTGATTTCCATCTGATTTTTTATTTTACCAATCCGAAGGAATAAATTTTTAAAAGTCTCAGCGATGTTAGTAATTTGCTTTTCTTTTTTTTGCGCTGGAAATCAAATTTATTGACTTACACATCTTATTTGTCTGGAAGTGTGGAAAGTACTTCTGTGATACTTCTATCCCCACTTGGGCAGGTTGTCATTTCCGAGTATGTTTCTCTCATGCCTTTCTGTAAAAAAGAAATGGCAGTCGTCGTGTGACCATCCATTTGGAAAGATTAGTACTATCACTTTGCCAGAGATGTTGATGGCATTGTCCGTGAACCCGGGTATAAGTCCTTGGTTGCTTTATCCTCAGGATAAGTTTTTAGGTATGGATCCCGAAATTTCAATTCGTGAAGGACGTTTTTCTTAAAAGCTGACCGGGCTTGCAGAGTCCACTTGTATGTTTAAAAATTACTTGGTTTTCCTTCCCGAGGCCAGTTTTTAATAGTTTCTTAAGTTCTTCTCCATCATCGTCGAAAATTGTAGTTACATTTTATACAGAATTATCGTCATTTTCACTCTGTCCAGATTCTGACCATGCGCTAAATCACGTCACAACGTTCTCTATTTACATCCGGATGATCGGACGGATTAAAATCTACATTATCTACAATATGAGTATTTACAATGTTTACACTTTTACGACGAGATTTACAGAGTCTGGTGAAATGGCCTTTATATTTACAGGATGTACAAGTTGTGTCCTTCGCTAGACAAACAGCCAGATGTCCTTTTGAAAAAGTCCCGCGACATTTCATACAGGTGTTGCTCCGTTCAATATTCAGGGTAGGTTCTCTTTTGACGTTAAAATGATTGTGTACGGATGATTCCCTTGGATTTAAAATTATTTGTTAATTTTAAATGGTTTAAAATTCCCTTTTCATCAATTAGGGCGACATTGAGTTTTCGTTGTATGTCTGAATTTTTCATGTTATTTATGAGGATGTCCCTGATCCATTCGTCCTCTCCGGTGGTTTGGGGAGCATTAGCCGAAATGGCTAAAAAATGTGACATTTTTAGGTCACATTTTCTAGCCATTTCGGCTAAGGCTCCCCAAAGTTGTTGAGGTGACTCTCTGTCTCGTTGTTTCCTGTTCAATAACGTTGGCCTTTCCAATGTGACGTTCGTTTTCCTGACGAAAGCGGTAGCTAAGTGTCACCAAAACTCTTTGAATGAATTTTAGAGTTTTTTTACCTTTGAACTTTTGTCCGAAGATTCGCTTTCCCTCGTTTCCGAGGGCTAAGTACAGAATAGAACGTAATTTCTTGTCGGCTTCCTCTATTCTCATTCCGTTAAGTTTCTTAGTTTCTGATTTAGTAGATGCCGCTTCCTCATCGTCGTACCGTCTTTGTTCTTGGATGTTTCTTTCCATCCTAGCTTTTCGTTGGTTTTCCGTCGGATTGTCCAGAGTTGGTGGATGGGGATGATGTTTTTCCTAAGGATTCAGTAGATTCTCGATATCTACATTTTCGTTCGCGATTATTGTCAAGTGGAAGAGATCACTCCAATCTTCCCTAGGTATAGGTGGGTCTGCCGTATAAATCTGCCAAAATGGAGGTATTCCTCTCACGTTAGATTCGTTATTTGACTGCGCCATGAGAAAATGTAACTTTGTGGCAGCTAATTCTACTCTATACAATTTAGAGAATATAAGTGAATTAATCCAAAGTTAAAACCTTAAAAAGTGAAGAGAGGATTCTCTCCGCCGGAGAGAATGAAAGAGTGAAGGTCATATCTAACTAGAGTATATCAAGTGGAACCACATCAGATTACTATTTCAAAAACAGAAGTTCACAAAAATTGTGTTTCCTCAAAAACTCGAGTAGAAAGCCATGTTTTTTGATAAGATCTTCAAGTTATATTTTGGTAGAATTTAACAAAAAATTTAGCAATATTTTTTCGGGAAAGTTTTCATTTTTGCTTCCCTCAAAATATATTCCAACCTTTTTGGTTAAATCTATCGAATTGTAATATGAGAAAAAAATCCATTCTGCAAATATCGATATCTAATTCCTTCTTATTTTCATGAATGGCAATTTTATAAAACTTTTCTTCTTGTCAAGAAATTAATTATCCTCAATTTATGAACCGATACAATTATTAGAAATGGGCGCAGTATTGCCTAGGATAAAATGCACGACCCTCAATCGTTTAATTATTTCAAATTTTTATATGCCGGAGACAATGATTTGTTGGTTTTTTACAGAACGGTTGATTAAGCGTGCGAAAAAGCAGTTTTTATTGCTTTTTGAACAAGTATTTTTTTGAATGTTTTGAAATCATATAAAGTATCTCTGATCTAAAGAAAGAAGGAAATCAAAGAAACTAATGTACAAACAAAAAAGCTCAAGAACTATTATTATGTTATTTTCTAGAAAGCTTTGTGTGCTATCTATTTGGCTCGGAAATTAATTCAATCAAAGTTTTTTGAGTAAGAATTTGATTTAACATTATGTTACTTGTATCACCATAAACAAACAAGCCCTGCTAGCTCGTTGGTTTGATGTTTGATTTCTCCATTTTTAAATATAACCTCAATGTCTATCAATCCAGATGTGACTTAACTCTTTGAATTTGATAGTTAAATGCTATTTTTTTAAGAGTAGATAAACGTAGTTCATCGTGATGATGTTTTTATTTTTTTTTCAGGAAATTTTGTTCAGGCTCAATTTTACTTTCTCGTGGCTTGACTTTTGATTTCTTTTTAAGTGCGTTTTTTTTCATTTTGTAAAAGAATGGCAAACTCCGCGATCGAGCAGCAAAAGTGTGAAGGTTTCAAAAAACGTGATCGACTTCTAGTTTCGAAAGTGGAATTTAGTTCTCAGATTTCCAAGCGAAATATTTTTTTTTTATTGATGCAGGTTTCTCAAGTTGGTTTATTTTTTATCGAAAAAGTGCTACTGATAAATTATTTTAGAAATTCAAAAAGCTTGAAGGGCATCTATTTTTTTGAAAGTTAAGACTTCCCAAAGAAAAGTTAATTTTTTTCTATTAAATTGCGTTCATTGAATCTTTTCCAACTGTCTGTTGGCTATGTTCGTATCAATCAAAATTCTAATATCTGATTATTTGTGTGCTTACTACTTGACTTGAATTATAATTCATGTCATTGGGCGCATCCTTGAAGTTGCAAGCAATTCTAATTCAATTATAATTAGTTAATGTGCTTTTACAGATCTTAAGGTCGTAGTTCGTTCATACATGAAAAAATGTTACAGCAGTTAAGCTGATACTCTGCCAGTCAAGTTTGTTTCCTTCAACAAAAAGGAACCCTTTTTGCAGCAATTAATTACCGAGCCTTGTGAAACACTTAGTCGATAAAAATGCAATCAGATTTAAAAAGCTATTAAATCAATTTTTACAATCACCTCGAACACCTATAGTTGTTTATTCAATTAATAAGGCTTTGTGGTCAAGCGTATCAAAAGCTTTTTCACATCGATGAAAATGTTTTAATTCATGTATTCATCTAAGTTGAACCTTCTGCGCTTAGTAAGCCTAGCTGATGCATCAACAACCAAATTGAAGAAACCAAATTAATGTTTACAGATCAAATCGAATTTTTCCAGATAACTGATAATCGAAAGTGCACGGCTTTTCAATAGTTTTACTGCAGTTTTTGTTTTACTGCAGTTGTTATATGAATTGGGTCGGAAGTTGATGCGTGACGCTGATACGAGAACGTGAGACTACTGATTCCGAGGTCAGAGGTTCGAATCCGACAGATTGCAAAAGTTTTATAATTCAAGTCTTATTTTTCACCTTTCTTATATCACTTTTTGAGCTGCTTTTTGTCGTTGTATCGCTTGTGTTTGCGAAGTGAAGATTCGATCTGTAAAAAAAACTTCAAATATGTGTCTCAAGTCTCCATTGCAGGTGTTTAGTTAATTGTACTAAAAATATATTTTTTATTATCAATATCTCAATCATTTTTCGCTCATAAAATAACCTATTCTTCCAAGTTCTTTGACTCTATCGATGTTCAACAATTGAGCGGCTTAAGGGCTTATTTAAAAGGACTGTTTCTTGGCAGGTATCGCGTTTCATTGCAAGATTGAGTTGATGGTAATATATTTTTATCAGGTGCTGGAAATAGGGGTGTTGTGTGCTATCGCGATATTCCTCTTTCTTTCCGTGTTCAGTCTGGGTTACAGTCAGAACATAGCAAGTTACACACTGGATTTTGACAAGGGTGATTTTGACCTGAACAGCCATTTCCTCCTCTGGAAGGATCCGGCCAAGGAAACTTCAACTGGAACGCTGCATAGATTCATGATCGAATCAGATCCAGAAGAATCTATGCGAGAAGATACTGTGCACATTCCTGTCAATCAAAGCAAGGGTATGAGTTTGTGAAATTGTTTTATTTTAACCGATAACCTGCTCGTGATCGACTTCTAGTTTCGAAAGAGGATTTTAATTTTCAGATTTCCCAGGGGAATAAAAACTTGGGGTAGTTTTATCCAAAAAATTTCGATCATAAATTGTTCTTGAAAGTGGAAGAGCTGTAAAGCCATTTTCAAAAACAAGGCATTTTTCCTTTTTTGTTTCCTTCCGTTCATTGAATTTTTTCCAACTGTCTGTTGGCTATGTTTTGATAGCTGCCAATTTGGGCAGAATGAGTAAAAAACCCCTCCTTTGACATTTCACAGATTGAAAAATTTTAATGTCTCAATTTTCAAAATAACATCAATTTAAGAAAAATTGTCTTAAGTTTGATCAAATTTTTTTTATTCACATTGTAGGAGATTCCAGTTACGTCAAAATCCGGCAAAGTCAGAACAAGTCATCAACAAATCAGGCAAAGAGTTTATTGGCTAGGGCTTTCGCGCCTCTAGGAGAGACAGAAAAGTCGAATAACAAGGGAACCGGGTCAGTTCGTATTCCATTGGTAGAACCAGCAGCCAATGAGCCTCTTCTTAATCAGAGAGACGACGAGGAAGAAACCTCTAGCTTGGAGCAACATAAAATAACGGACTAGTTCGAACTTAGTCCTACGTTTTACGAGCGCAGTTCTCTCTTAATTGTTAAGTTATTTCAATGAATTCTATTTTATCTTCTGGTGTTAATCATAAATCAATACTTAGTGCACATAAAATGACGGTCATGTTTTGCAACCTCTAGAAACAAAAAAGATACCTTAGATTGGGACAACATATTGCACTGCTTAGCTTCTCGACCAAGGAGAAATATGACACTTATAATAAAATTCCTGAAAATTATACTCTAATAATTCTTCATAGACGTTGCAAATTATCGGCCAGATCTTCATGAATTTTGAAGTTTTTTACTCTACGTTTAATCATGTTTGATGACAGGTGTAGCAGTGTGTTATCGGGGTAGTTGTCGCGCAATCAAATTGTCCGTTAGACGGGAACTCAAACTGTATAAACTTTCTTCTGGCTAAATGAAACGTATCATTCTGTTTTAATGTCTATAATAATGAATTAGTTTTGGTGTAATTAGTTTTAATGTAAAATTGTATTGTATCATAAATATTGAATGAATTTGAATTGTTTTCATCTGTGCTGTTTTTACAGAATTTCCGCAATTTAAGGCGTGAGTGTTTCCGACGGCACTTAGTTTTATGTATCTGCACCACTCAGTTAATGAGTTCTGCATGGTTAAATTTGTGTCATTTTGAAGCTTAATCAAGGGGTTCTATTTCTACAAAATGTTTGAGCACGCAACTCTTAAAACGAAGAACCCCGACAAAAATGAAGAAAAATGGTTGTTTCTACTGTTTAGCAAGTTTTTAGACATCAGGGTTGCTGCTTCAGGAGAAGATAGTTTCGAATGTTTTAGGTCGAACAAACAATTTCTGAGCTTTCTTGAAAATGCAAAAACCTGATTTAGGAAAAAATAGAAAAAAAAGGTTTTCGTGGCAGTGAAGCTTTTGGATTTGACCCGAAATGGCTTTGGCAGTTTCATAGCACGTGTTGTCGTCCACTGTATTATCGCTAGCTAATGAGTCGTGTAGTCGATAGTAGGGCAGTCGAATTGATTAGCTGGATGTCTGAGGACTCAGAATCTTAGATGTGCGAGGACTGAGGTCCCGTAGAGCTTTTTTTCCAATTAAATTTTTTTTGTCTTTTCAATTTTTCTCTTTAAACCTTTTTAAAGCTACAGTTTGTTGTTTTTTTTGCTTGTGTTTGCAAGTGAAGCTGTGACTCTGATTTTTGAAGTTTCGGAGAGGTTTTTTGAAATAGTTCTGATGTTTTTCTTCGAATTTTCCTCTTCTTTTTCCAGCCTAAAATTGTGCAGAATTGTCTCTCCATTATTTGAACAGCATGAGCTACTTCCGCTGACTAAAGCGTACTTACTGCTGCTTGTATTATGCTGTTGTGGTCAAGTACATTCGTTAAGTGCTAGCGAATGAACTGTCCTTCAAATTAAAAAGCTTGAGTGAATACGTGGAGTTTACATTGTGTTTGAAATCTAGCTTGCTGCGGAAAAATTACCAAGAGATACTTTTTTTTCTAAAAAGCATAATTTGGAGAAAAAATTTAATATGCAACAAGCCTTGAAATTCAAAAAACTTAAAATTTATTGTTCCATAATTCGAAAATGTTTTTTGTACACCTCAATATTTTTCCAGCTATCTGTTTGCTATGTTTTGTGTCAAGTTTGATCAACGAGCTTGTTTTTCCCCACGATGGTACAAATCAATGAGTTCAATTTTTTTTTGAGGAAAATCCTAAAAAAATCTTCAGAAAAAAATATAAGTTATAGTTAAGCTTTCTGAAAATATAAGTTACTTTTTGAAAATTTTCAATATTCAAATTGCTTTTCATAGTTTGACAGCAAACTGTCGAGCGTAGTGTTTTTTCATGACTACTTTTTCCTACCTAACTAGCAAATGAAACTGCTCAATTGATTACACCGAAGACTTTAGTCAAGGTGTTATGGTATCGTGTAACGGGTTTTTTTTTTAATGTTGTCTGTTGTCAAGTGTCGACAAATAACGTCCACAGTTATCAATTATCATGTGGGCTGGACTATATCGCGCACTTTCTGGATGTCTAGTTGTAGACAAATTTTTGTTATGTCTCTCAAATCGTTCAAATGTACCTTGTTATATTTTTGATTGACTAGCAGTAGATGAGTTCTTTGTGATAATTTTCTTTGAATCTTTTTTGAAATTTACCATTACTGCATTTTATTCATTCTCTTAGAGGGTCACAGTTGACAATGCAGGTCACGTCGAAGAGTACGAGCATTTTGGACTACGTGTTTTAAGAATTTACAATCTGTTTTAATGTACGACCAATAAATTTTACACCTTAATTTTTAAAAAAAAAAACATTTTCAATTCTTCCCTTGCCATTCTGAACAGGTGGTTACAAAGTTTTAGCTAGTCACTGTATGATTTTCTGCCAGCAGCTCAACTGGTCTGTGTATACTTGTATTAGGTACACAGTTTTTTTTCAACTGCTGTGTATACTTGTATTAGGTACACTGTAGTTTCAATCAATTGATCTGTGTATACTTGTATTAGGTACACAGTTATTCTATTTCAACTTTTGTGTATACTTGTATTAGGTACACTGTAGTTTCAATCAACTGGTCTGTGTATACTTGTATTAGGTACAGTTTTTTTTCAACTGCTGTGTATACTTGTATTAGGTACACTGTAGTTTCAATCAACTGATCTGTGTATACTTGTATTCGGAGGTACACAGTTATTCTATTTCAACTTTTGTGTATACTTGTATTAGGTACTCTGTAGTTTCAATCAACTGGTCTGTGTATACTTGTATTAGGTACACAGTTTTTTTTCAACTGCTGTGTATACTTGTATTAGGTACACTGTAGTTTCAATCAACTGATCTGTGTATACTTGTATTAGGTACACAGTTTTTCTATTTCAACTGCTGTGTATACTTGTATTAGGTACACTGTAGTTTCAATCAACTGGTCTGTGTATACTTGTATTAGGTACACAGTTTTTTTTCAACTGCTGTGTATACTTGTATTAGGTACACTGTAGTTTCAATCAACTGGTCTGTGTATACTTGTATTAGGTACACAGTTTTTCTATTTCAACTGCTGTGTATACTTGTATTAGGTACACTGTAGTTTCAATCAACTGATCGTGTATACTTGTATTAGGTACACAGTTTCTTTAGTTTAACTGATCTGTGTATACTTGTAATAGGTACACTGTAGTTTCAATTAACTGGTCTGTGTATACTTGTATTAGGTGTAAAACAGGAGGCGTTTTGCTACACATACAAACACAATCTTTTGTATTTTATTATAGCTATAGAAATTGATCTACAATGCGTAAGTACGACATTTAGTTCTACGATTGTTATTTCAGGTCCTTTGTCCTACGATTTTTTGTTCTAGAACTGTTATTCTTCAATTATTAGTTGTTCAAGTTGTTTGGTTTTTGCTTCAGTTTCTATGCCTTCGGTGTATTGCGCGTAGCGCCTATGTTAGCACTTGTGCAATAATAACGATCTGTAGCATTAGAATATCATTTGTGGCTAGGTTTTGGCAGTCAGTAAGCGTTCGCGGCTGAAAATTAAGATCGTGAGACACCAAGTCTTGATGTAGCGGGCTCGAATCCGACATATAGCAAGAGTTATACTAACTACTTCGAGGATTCGTCTGTGTTTCATAGTATTTTACAGTGCATATATGATGCAGAGATAAGACTTGCTTGTCCCACCCAACTAGCTGGTATGAGTACCGGTCCAATTTTTCCAAAATTTTTTCTACTTTTCCAGTTTTGTTGTCAGTTAGCTGTTTTTTTGGCTCCAATTTAGTCAGTGCTATCCTTGGTGTTCCATCGCTGCTGTTATCGAAGTTTCACATAGTGTTAAGTGTAACCTGTATTGAGTCTTGTATCGTGGTTTTGGCAATTTTATGGCTATAACGACCAAGCTGGAAAATTGATATTTCATTTTTTTTACTTGATTGCTGTAAACATTTGGATAGGTATTTTGATTTATTTCTGGCTTCATTTTTTTTGAACTATCGGTCCTGTTTTTTCTTTAGTTTTTTTTTAAACTAGGTTACGTCTGAAGTCAATAAGCTAGCTCTCTGGTCAGTTTTTGTCAATAATCCAACCAATATAAGCTGATTTTACTGGCGTTTGAAATTTTTCACACAGACCAATAGATACTCGAAACTATTTTGTCGATGATTTGTTTGTGCATCGACTTTTGCAAAATCTGTTCTTCATTTTACATTTTTTCAGTTTTTTTCTAACAATACACTGGCTGAATATGATTTAAATTCTACTATTTTTATTTTTGAATCGCTCAAATTTTGTTATGGGACAGTCTTAGAGCCCGTTTTCTATTGTTAAAAATGTTTTCTATTGTTAAAAATTAAAAAAAAAAACATTGGTAATTTTATTTGTTTTCAGGGATGTTTTTTCTTGGTTAAATTTCACAATAAATTGTTAACTTTGGCTTCAGGTTTCTTATTCATGCGAAAGAATTAATTTTTACTTTTTTAATTTTTACCTAGCAAAATATTATAATTTTTACATTTTTATCATCGCAAGTGGCGCTTAGCTCTGCTCCGCCTCTGGATAACAAACATCAATCATAGAAGCTTCTCGAAACTCACAGGCTATAATTTGGTACTTTTTTTGAAACCCAACTGAATATGGAATTTGAAAAAAAAAAATCCATTTACTCTCCTGCTGTCTGTATCTAGTTTTCTGTTTTGAAGGGGGAACAAATCAACTGTCAGTCAACATTTAAAGCTTTTAATTTTATTCATAGTTTATAGTTAATATTGCATAGCTAGAAATCAAATTCATGTTTGTAATATCTAATTGAAAAAGACAGGAAACCGGAACCTATGGAAGATTTCAAAATTATAATGTAAATACCCCCATGTCAAGAAGTGAAATTAAATTGTGGCAATCAAAAGTTATAGTTTACATATGTATTCTCTTTGCGAGCGTTGACATCCAATTAACGAGCGTGTGAAGATGTTTTTCTTTGATATGGTTGTTTTTGTTGTTTCTATCAATGCTAGTTAGTGGCTGTTTACTCGGATGCTGTTGTTGTCCATAGAATGATGGTGTTATCGATTCCTCCTATGGATACGAGAGAGTTGTTTCCTTCTGATAGGAATCTGACTTTGGAGACGTGAGACCCATGGCCTAATCCCACTTTCGAAGGAGCCTATAAAAACAGAGTGAATGAACTGAACATATCATAGAAAACTAGATGTTGAGAAAACTACCGTAGAGCAATAAATGATTAAAAAGTATTTTATCAAAGTATTGAGACAGTAATAGGGAACATGCCCGCCTGCAAATATTGTTTATATCCTACTTTTAGTTAATTTGTTCTAGTTTTCGCTAATCAAGTTGCCGCCAAAATTAAAATGGTCTCTAATAAGGTAAATAAGAAAGGTAAGGGCAATTTGAATTTTTAATTAACTCGTTATTCTGTCGATTCATACCGTGTCGACTTGCCGGTTAATTTTTATTTTAGCTTAGGTAAGCTTTTTTGACTTATTGGATTAAATTTTTGAGATCTAACATGATACCCATCAATGGTCATACTTTTGCAAGATAAACGTCAATTTAGAAGAGTTTGCAATATTTAACAAGGATAACCGGTAACTGTGCAAGTTGCACAGAATTTACCGACCATAGTCTTTAGAAAACATTCTTTTTCGCAAATTAGAGTAGTTTTTTCTGCGTGATGTAAAGACCCGACGTAAAACTATAATTTAGGCTTATTCGACAGTCATAGTAATGTAGGCGAATTGGAAAATGTTTTAACGAAAAATGACTAGAAAAACAAAAAAAACTAAAATTCATTTTTTTTCTCAAATTTTTTTGCAGAAAGTGTTTGAATTTTTTGTTCCCAAAATGGAGCTAAAAACTCCAGTAAATAATTTTACTTGCTTTAAATTAAGTTTTTAGGGCTTAAATAAGGCATAAATAAGCTGTTGTAAGCCTGCTCGCTCGCTTTAATCGCTCGAATTAAGACGAAAGTTCAAACGGTCGGAACAAAAAGTTTTCTACAAGCTTCGAAGAAAACTTTTTTTCGCTGCTGATTGGCTTAGTTCTGAAATGGTACCTTTGGAAGGAAACAGGGGTAGTTGAATATGTGCACTTGGTGATTGTCATCTGCAGTGGCCATGAGGCTGTGGTCAGAAGAGACATCTGTCGCATTGATCTCCCCTCCCTCAGAACCCTCCGGCCAGATTCCTAATGCAAACATGTAATATAGGTCATTAAATGAATGTACAAAAACTCAAATGGTCACTTTGTTCAGGCGATTCAAAGTGTCTTTTTTCACTGTTGCGTAATACTATAGTAATACAAAAGTAATTCAATTAGTTTTATTCATTAATGCGACTTTTTCGCTTTTTCCTCATATTCAAGTAAATAAAGAATAAAAAAGTAATAAAACAAAATAAAGTTTTTGGACATGGTCTAAGGGCTATAGATATGGTCCTGGAGTATCCTTCAGACAACTTTGATACTTTGATTTTACAAAGTGCAGTTGACCAAATGTCGGCAACTTAAAAGTGTCGCCTAGCGATATTCAAAGCATAGTCGTTTCATTAGCAGTATTGCTTGTGTACCTATTGTGCTGTACTCGAGAGTGCAGGTGGCTGTTGCCCATTCGGCATTGGCTGTCGTCTCACTGCCGACGAATTGTTTGCAGTAGTTCACACTCCCTTCAACACGAAAATATGCCGTAATTTTTACATGAAATAAACTTTGTTAGCGAACATATATGAAAAAGTAATACACGACGAAAGTTTTATCGGAGTGGTTATGATATACTATTTCTTGTATGTATGTATAGTTACGTGCGTTGAATTTGTCAGAGATACCAAATTTTTTGTACCAAAACTTTTAAAACTCTTAAAGCTTGATTTGAAAAGTCTTTTTGGAATTGATTGGCCAGCGACAATTGAGTACAATTTGATCAAGGCGTGGTGCCTTTTCGGTTTAATCGAGGAACGAAACATCACATATACGATGAAAAGGGGGAGAGGTTTGGTGAGATGTTGTATCTACTAACAGTAGAGTAGTTCGTGGTTTCCGGAGTTGGACCTCAACTTGTGGCTGTCTGCACTCCAGTCCATGTGAGTCACGAACGAAGTGTGGCCCTGGAAGAACAAGATCAAAACATGGATCTTCACACATCTCACGACTTCATTTGGTAGAAAAACAGCTTTTAATGATTTTATAATTTAAATGAAAAGATTTTTATTTTCAATGAAATGATGTTTTCACTTAAATGATAAAACAGCTCGCATGCACCTTTGAAGCAATTATCCCAACACAAAAACAGTTTCATTCTTATTACTTTGCTTAAATTAATTATGAGAGAGTTTTTAAGTTCCGCTGGTTTTCATGACAACTAAAATTAATTAAACCGACGTTGTACTCACTATGCATTTTCCTACTTTCGAGAAGCGGATGGCCCCGTTGTCCTGTTCGTCCAGTTTGTAGATGTAGATGCCAGAGTCCTCGCCCCCTATCGCCAGGCGGTTACCATCTAGAAAAAAAACACTGGATCAGATTTTCAGCAGTCCATTGAAAAAACCCCAATCATCAGCAAGAACACATTTTGATTGAAATTTCGTTGCACATTGTAGCTAAGACCTTTTTAGAATTCACAAATTAGCATTTCATTGGTTTTCGTAACATTTTTCGAAGCAAGAAAAAATACTTAGAACTGATCTTCGTTTATCAACAAAACGATACTATTAGGTTATATAGCTCTTTTTCCTATAATCAAATCCGAATCATACGAATCATAGGATTGGTAAAAATAGAAACTACTTTTTCCTTCATTGGTTTTCGTAACATTTTTCGAAGCAAGAAAAAATACTTAGAACTGATCTTCGTTTATCAACAAAACGATACTATTAGGTTATATAGCTCTTTTTCCTATAATCAAATCCGAATCATACGAATCATAGGATTGGTAAAAATAGAAACTACTTTTTCCTTCATTGGTTTTCGTAACATTTTTCGAAGCAAGAAAAAATACTTAGAACTGATCTTCGTTTATCAACAAAACGATACTATTAGGTTATATAGCTCTTTTTCCTATAATCAAATCCAAATCATACGAATCATAGGATTGGTAAAAATAGAAACTACTTTTTCCTTCATTGGTTTTCCTAACATTTTTCGAAGCAAGAAAAAATACTTAGAACTGATCTTCGTTTATCAACAAAACGATACTATTAGGTTATATAGCTCTTTTTCCTATAATAAAATCCGAATCATACGAATCATAGGATTGGTAAAAATAGAAACTACTTTTTCCTTCATTGGTTTTTGTAACATTTTTCGAAGCAAGAAAAAATACTTAGAACTGATCTTCGTTTATCAACAAAACGATACTATTAGGTTATATAGCTCTTTTTCCTATAATCAAATCCGAATCATACGAATCATAGGATTGGTAAAAATAGAAACTACTTTTTCCTTCATTGGTTTTCGTAACATTTTTCGAAGCAAGAAAAAATACTTAGAACTGATCTTCGTTTATCAACAAAACGATACTATTAGATTATATAGCTCTTTTTCCTATAATCAAATCCGAATCATACGAATCATAGGATTGGTAAAAATAGAAACTAACTTTTTCCTTCATTGGTTTTCGTAACATTTTTCGAAGCAAGAAAAAATACTTAGAACTGATCTTCGTTTATCAACAAAACGATACTATTAGGTTATATACCTCTTTTTCCTATAATCAAATCCGAATCATACGAATCATAGGATTGGTAAAAATAGAAACTACTTTTTCCTTCATTGGTTTTCGTAACATTTTTCGAAGCAAGAAAAAATACTTAGAACTGATCTTCGTTTATCAACAAAACGATACTATTAGGTTATATAGCTCTTTTTCCTATAATCAAATCCGAATCATACGAATCATAGGATTGGTAAAAATAGAAACTACTTTTTCCTTCATTGGTTTTCGTAACATTTTTCGAAGCAAGAAAAAATACTTAGAACTGATCTTCGTTTATCAACAAAACGACACTATTAGGTTTAATAGCTCTTTTTCCTATAATCAAATCCGAATCATACGAATCATAGGATTTGTAAAAATAGAAACTACTTTTTCCTTCATTGGTTTTCGTAACATTTTTCGAAGCAAGAAAAAATACTTAGAACTGATCTTCGTTTATCAACAAAACGATACTATTAGGTTATATAGCTCTTTTTCCTATAATCAAATCCGAATCATACGAATCATAGGATTTGTAAAAATAGAAACTACTTTTTCCTTCATTGGTTTTCGTAACATTTTTCGAAGCAAGAAAAAATACTTAGAACTGATCTTCGTTTATCAACAAAACGATACTATTAGGTTATATAGCTCTTTTTCCTATAATCAAATCCGAATCATACGAATCATAGGATTGGTAAAAATAGAAACTACTTTTTCCTTCATTGGTTTTCGTAACATTTTTCGAAGCAAGAAAAAATACTTAGAACTGATCTTCGTTTATCAACAAAACGATACTATTAGGTTATATAGCTCTTTTTCCTATAATCAAATCCGAATCATACGAATCATAGGATTGGTAAAAATAGAAACTACTTTTTCCTTCATTGGTTTTCGTAACATTTTTCGAAGCAAGAAAAAATACTTAGAACTGATCTTCGTTTATCAACAAAACGATACTATTAGGTTATATAGCTCTTTTTCCTATAATCAAATCCAAATCATACGAATCATAGGATTGGTAAAAATAGAAACTAATTTTTCCTTCATTGGTTTTCGTAACATTTTTCGAAGCAAGAAAACATACTTAGAACTGATCTTCGTTTATCAACAAAACGACACTATTAGGTTATATAGCTCTTTTTCCTATAATCAAATCCGAATCATACGAATCATAGGATTGGTAAAAATAGAAACTACTTTTTCCTTCATTGGTTTTCGTAACATTTTTCGAAGCAAGAAAAAATACTTAGAACTGATCTTCGTTTATCAACAAAACGATACTATTAGGTTATATAGCTCTTTTTCCTATAATCAAATCCGAATCATACGAATCATAGGATTGGTAAAAATAGAAACTACTTTTTCCTTCATTGGTTTTCGTAACATTTTTCGAAGCAAGAAAAAATACTTAGAACTGATCTTCGTTTATCAACAAAAGGATACTATTAGGTTATATAGCTCTTTTTCCTATAATCAAATCCAAATCATACGAATCATAGGATTGGTAAAAATAGAAACTACTTTTTCCTTCATTGGTTTTCGTAACATTTTTCGAAGCAAGAAAAAATACTTAGAACTGATCTTCGTTTATCAACAAAACGATACTATTAGGTTATATAGCTCTTTTTCCTATAATCAAATCCAAATCATACGAATCATAGGATTGGTAAAAATAGAAACTAATTTTTCCTTCATTGGTTTTCGTAACATTTTTCGAAGCAAGAAAACATACTTAGAACTGATCTTCGTTTATCAACAAAACGACACTATTAGGTTATATAGCTCTTTTTCCTATAATCAAATCCGAATCATACGAATCATAGGATTGGTAAAAATAGAAACTACTTTTTCCTTCATTGGTTTTCGTAACATTTTTCGAAGCAAGAAAAAATACTTAGAACTGATCTTCGTTTATCAACAAAACGATACTATTAGGTTATATAGCTCTTTTTCCTATAATCAAATCCGAATCATACGAATCATAGGATTGGTAAAAATAGAAACTACTTTTTCCTTCATTGGTTTTCGTAACATTTTTCGAAGCAAGAAAAAATACTTAGAACTGATCTTCGTTTATCAACAAAACGATACTATTAGGTTATATAGCTCTTTTTCCTATAATCAAATCCGAATCACACGAATCATAGGATTGGTAAAAATAGAAACTACTTTTTCCTTCATTGGTTTTCGTAACATTTTTAGAAGCAAGAAAAAATACTTAGAACTGATCTTCGTTTATCAACAAAACGATACTATTAGGTTATATAGCTCTTTTTCCTATAATCAAATCGAAATCATACGAATCATAGGATTGGTAAAAATAGAAACTACTTTTTCCTTCATTGGTTTTCGTAACATTTTTCGAAGCAAGAAAAAATACTTAGAACTGATCTTCGTTTATCAACAAAACGACACTATTAGGTTATATAGCTCTTTTTCCTATAATCAAATCCGAATCATACGAATCATAGGATTGGTAAAAATAGAAACTACTTTTTCCTTCATTGGTTTTCGTATTATTTTTCGAAGCAAGAAAAAATACTTAGAACTGATCTTCGTTTATCAACAAAACGATACTATTAGGTTATATAGCTCTTTTTCCTATAATCAAATCCGAATCATACGAATCATAGGATTGGTAAAAATAGAAACTACTTTTTCCTTCATTGGTTTTCGTAACATTTTTCGAAGCAAGAAAAAATACTTAGAACTGATCTTCGTTTATCAACAAAACGACACTATTAGGTTATATAGCTCTTTTTCCTATAATGAAATCCGAATCATACGAATCATAGGATTGGTAAAAATAGAAACTACTTTTTCCTTCATTGGTTTTCGTAACATTTTTCCAAGCAAGAAAAAATACTTAGAACTGATCTTCGTATATCAACAAAACGATACTATTAGGTTATATAGCTCTTTTTCCTATAATGAAATCCGAATCATACGAATCATAGGATTGGTAAAAATAGAAACTACTTTTTCCTTCATTGGTTTTCGTAACATTTTTCGAAGCAAGAAAAAATACTTAGAACTGATCTTCGTTTATCAACAAAAGGATACTATTAGGTTATATAGCTCTTTTTCCTATAATCAAATCCAAATCATACGAATCATAGGATTGGTAAAAATAGAAACTACTTTTTCCTTCATTGGTTTTCGTAACATTTTTCGAAGCAAGAAAAAATACTTAGAACTGATCTTCGTTTATCAACAAAACGATACTATTAGGTTATATAGCTCTTTTTCCTATAATCAAATCCAAATCATACGAATCATAGGATTGGTAAAAATAGAAACTAATTTTTCCTTCATTGGTTTTCGTAACATTTTTCGAAGCAAGAAAACATACTTAGAACTGATCTTCGTTTATCAACAAAACGACACTATTAGGTTATATAGCTCTTTTTCCTATAATCAAATCCGAATCATACGAATCATAGGATTGGTAAAAATAGAAACTACTTTTTCCTTCATTGGTTTTCGTAACATTTTTCGAAGCAAGAAAAAATACTTAGAACTGATCTTCGTTTATCAACAAAACGATACTATTAGGTTATATAGCTCTTTTTCCTATAATCAAATCCGAATCATACGAATCATAGGATTGGTAAAAATAGAAACTACTTTTTCCTTCATTGGTTTTCGTAACATTTTTCGAAGCAAGAAAAAATACTTAGAACTGATCTTCGTTTATCAACAAAACGATACTATTAGGTTATATAGCTCTTTTTCCTATAATCAAATCCGAATCACACGAATCATAGGATTGGTAAAAATAGAAACTACTTTTTCCTTCATTG